ACAAGTCTCTTTAATATCCCTTAAGGATTTTATTTTAATTCTTCTTTAAGAAAAAAAAATTAAAACTGGCAAATGAAGTGTAATATGAGCATTAAAAGAAAGAGGACAGGGGCATCTGGGTAGTTTAATAGGTTAAGCATCTGACTCTTGATTTTGGCCCAGGTCATGATCTCAAGGTTTGTGAGATCAGGCCAGGAGTTGGCTCCATGCTAAATGTGGAGCCTGCTTAATAATCTTTCTTTCTCTCTCTCTCTCAAAAGAAAAAGAAGAGGGAGAAAATTTATATCTATTAATAAAAATATCAGTAAATTCTTACCAGGTTTTTTAGAGCAACATTATCACTCTTTAGAGATGTTTTATTTGAGTTTCTTTCCTTGCCCATGATAACATAATACTTGAAGTAGTTAAAATACTCATTTCCATAGTGGAGACTATGGAGAAACAAAGGTAAGGACAATGGATTACCTGGAAAGAAACCATGATTTGGAAATGGTAAAACTTTGACAGTGTTCCTCCAGCAAACAACAGCTATTTCTTAGGTTCTTATTGAAGATACCAATTAGGTGGCTATGATAACATCTTTAGATGCAAAGGACTTTTGCGTTACAGAAGGATGGCATCATGTTTTCGTTTTCTTTTGTGCCTTTAATTTCTTTCTTTCTTTCTTTTTCTTTTTCTTTTCTTTTTTTTTTTTTATTGTGACAGGGAGATTTTATTTTCTTATCTCAGGAGTTTGCATTTTGGTCTTTTGTTGTTATGGGAATTCTTTTTTTTTTCAATTTTTTTTAATGTATTTATTTTTATTTTTGAGACAGAGAGAGACAGAGCATGAGCAGGGGAGGGGCAGAGAGAGAGGGAGACACAGAATCCTAAGCAGGCTCCAGGCTCTGAGCTGTCAGCACAGAGCCTGATGTGGGGCTCCAACCCACGGACTGTGAGATCATGACCTGAGCTGAAGTCAGATGCTCAACCAACTGAACCACCCAGGCGCCCCTGTTGTTATGGGAATTCTTATTGTATTTGTTACATCTTATGTTTGGGGAGGATTACAAAGTGGCTGTTGTTCACAAAAGGGAAAATAAAGAATTGAGTCACAATAAATGTACAAAAGTTTGAGTTAGGATTGGAAAGATTATTTTATTTTTCTCATCTTTGATTTTAAATAATTAAGTGTATTGTCTCACAATTGATTGTCCAGAGAGCCCAAATCAGTGTAATCATGTGTAGTATGCCCTCCAGATCTGATAGCCTCAGGATCATTCTGTTGATTGGGAGAAGGGAAGAGTGGGTGAAAGTCTACAAAAGCTTATGTTAATTAAAGTATATCCCCGACTGGTAGAAAATCATGTTCAGACATCATTTCATCATTAGTCAACTCATCAAAATACCATTTTTCAGAAAATCCTCTTGTTCTTTTCATTGGCTTTAATGAAATTATTCTAAGAGCTTCATAGAAGGACTGAGATCCAGTGTTTGCATAACTGTCATTTTCTTAAGAAATAGACTTTGGGCCTCCTGAGAAAGCAGCTCATCTGGTGTGACATTTGCTGCAAGAGAATGAAGTATTATTTTAAAAATTTTGCTTCTTAACAAAGGAAATATCCGTCTGTTTTGGTCTTTTTCCCAGCGTCTGATAAACAATGGGTTGCTAATTAATTAGTTGATAGGCAGAAATCTAGGAGAGTAAAGAAGGACTAATGTAAGAATTCTAAATAATTTTTCACGTACTTGGATTTTTCTAAGGATAATTTCTTTTTAATGTTTACTCATTTTTGAGAGACAGAGAGAGACAGAGCATGAGCGGGGAAGGGGCAGAGAGAGGGAGACACAGAATCTGAAACAGGCTCCAGGCTCTGAGCTGTCAGCACAGTCCCCAATGCGGGGCTCAAACTCACCAACTATGAGATCCTGACCTGAGCCGAAGTCTGACACTCAACCGACTGAGCCACCCAGGTGCCCCTCTAAGGATAATTTTTATTGTGTACTTTTATTCTCATAAAGAAAAAGTGAACAATCATACATTTATGGGATAAAGTTAGTCATATTTTGAAATTTATGAATATAATGATAAAAATAAACATTTTAAAAGGATGTAGTTTTAGGCTGCTATTTTCTATTTGTGTATATGTGAACTTTTTTTGACATTCATGATAGCTACTTGAAGGATCTTCATGTTTGCTTGGTATTGTTTGCATTTATGATATTCAGATTAAAGGATGCTTCAAATATAGGAATATTCATTATAGATTTCATAGTTCAGGTGGCTTTGTAAATAATCTCTTACATGCTACTTTTGCTGTGTGTGTGTGTGTGTGTGTGTGTGTGTGTGTGTGTGTGTGTTTTAAATCCTATCAATATGTTATCTCTAGAGATTGTCTTCAGATTTACAATCAAATTTTGTGTGTGTGTGTATGTGTGTGTGTGTGTGTGTGTGTGTGTGTGTGTGAGAGAAAACCTCCAGCTATTTTATGTTATGGTTGTTTACATTAGGAATTCTGATTTTTCTTTGCGTTTAAATCAGTTTGAGAATCATTCAGTAAAACTTTTATTTATATTTTTAGCACCCAAGGATATATCATATTCAATGTAGCTGTTTGGTTGAACAGTTCTTTACTTGAGGTATAAAGTTCATGTTTGCTGTTGGGTTTTGGCTTTATTTTTCAAGATCTGTTTTGGGAAAGGGATAAATGGAGGGGGGAAAGGGAAAAGGAGAAACACTACAAATCATTCATTTAATGAAATGCTACAATAAATTGGAAAGTGCACTGAAAGACAATGGTCATATCAGAAGAATTTACTAGTCATTTCATTGAAATAAACATTAATTCTGTTCATTAAAAATAGCAGTAGATAAGTCAATAATATAATTTGATTTTTGAAAATATGAACTCAAAGAGGAAGTGTACTTGAAGAAGAAAAATAAATTGTGCTTTTTTGTTTCTGTGGACTCTTTTCTCAGTCCCTCCCCAGGTGCACTGTACGAATGTCAGAGTGGTGAACACAAGCAGGAGAATAGAGGCGAATTAAATATCTGGTTCAGTGTGTTTCAATAAATATGAAGAAAAATCCACATCCTGCTTCTCAGCCTACTTTGTAAACACTGTGTTCACAAATGTTTAACATCTGGCTCTTCAGTAACTGGGAAGTGGGGATTGTCATCAACTGCAGATTTTCAGTATTTTGTGGAAATTGCACACCTTCAGTTAGAGATGGATTTACTGCAGATTGGAGTTTCAGCTTTGCACTCTGTCTCAGCCTGATGGTGTGACCCTCTCAAGGCTGGAGGTCTGGTACCCTTGCTTTTCATGATTGATAGATGACCAGTTTTGCTTTTCTAAAAGGCATTATGATTAACTGAAGTTTTCTTTATGCAATAAAAGTGGAAATATCATTTCAACTAATATTTACCTAACATTTTAATCTGTATCAGATAATGTTCTGTATCCTGGTGGCACTATACTTCTAGAGGGAGAAGGAGAGGTGTGTAGACAATTACACGTAACATTAGAAATGTAGGATGAAACATTCTGTAAGTGTAAGCACAGAGTATACTCAGAGTACACACAGTAGGGCCATCTGTTCCAGATTTTGTAGGAGGAGAGAAAAAAAAGAGGAGGCATCAAGGAAGCCTTCCCATAGGAAAGACTAGAGGTAATGAGTATCTAGTTCTGGAAGTACGGGATTAGTATCAGAGTGATAGACTACTTTATGCAAGGCAGATAACTGTGCAGTACAACTATTTCTAAAGTAGAACTGAAGATCCTTCCTTACATTCCTCGTTTCTCTCTTTTTTTTTTTTTTTTTGCTCCCATTTTCTTACTCTATCTCCTCTCTCTTACCTTCTTCTCTCCCTCTTTTCTCCCTTCTTTTCCCTTCCCTCCTTCCTTCATTATGAACTTCATAAGCACAGAATTTTATTAATCAAAATTTTGGTTCATGGGCCAGTGTCATCTTTGGATTATCCCTGGTCTGCATTCATTTATGTATTCATTTATGATGCAGTAGTTCATAGATATGAAATATTAACAATTATGACCTACCTTTTGCTTTTCTGTTTCATCTTCTTACCCCTTCTAAAAGATAACCATTATCCTGGGTTATGTATATTATTCTTTTCTTTATTGGGCTGCTTTTTTTTCATATATAACATATGTAAGCAATACATTGGTTGTTTTTTTAACTCAATATATGATATTCTTCTGTATGTAATCTACTAGTATTTTTTCCACTCACTATTTTACTATGCTTTTATTTGTAACTGAATTCATTCTGTTTCACTTCAATTAATATTCCATTGTGTGTCTATGCTACAAATTGTCAATTCTTCTGTTGATGGGCAATTGAGTGGTTTGTCTTTATGTTGTAATGAATAGTACTGCTATGAATGTTCTTTTACTTGCTGCCTAAGACATTATGTGAATGTTTCTTCAAGTATATACATCAGAAGGGCAATATAGGCATTTAGGTTGTGCAGAGGTTAAATTTAAAAGATAATCCCAAATTGTTTTCCAAAGCTATTGTACCAGTTTGCATTCCCACCAGAAATATATGAGCTTATGTTGATCCACATCCTCTCTAACACTTCATCTTGTGAGATTAATTTCTGTCAATCTAATGCCACATGATGTGAATGCTTTCTATCCATATGTAGTTTTGATTGCCACTTCCCAGGTTACTAATGAGATTGTGTATTTTCTAGGTATATTTATTGGTCATAAATATCTCTTCTAATCTTTCAATTATAAGATTTTGCTAGTCTACACTAATGAGTACTTTTTATATTTGTATTTGCAGTTGTTGCAATATCTTAATCATAAAAAGAGAGTCATTAAAGTAAAATAGACATATTTTAGTACTACATAAAATGGTGGGTACATTTCTAATAAAAGATGTGCAGTCAAAATAATTGACAAATTAAAAGAATAGGTAATAATTTCATTTTGACATTATTTTCTTGAATGATTTTTTTCACAACTTGATGTTTATTTTTCTTTTGACAGAACGATTTCGAGACTTACTACTTCCTCCATCTAGTCAAGACTCTGAGATTCTACCCTTCATTCAATCTAGAAATTATCCCAAGTAAGCACTAGGAGTTCAGTGGATCTTGGGAAGGAGAGGGGTGTGGTGACGGGAGAGATTTGGGAGGTAAAAAACAATGTTTTCTTTCTAAGGATTTCTGAAAAAGCTAGAATACCCTAACCTAACTAAGTAGGGCATCTCCTGTACTGTAATGTCTTAACCCACAGCTGGGTCAGAAAAAAAAGACTTGCTTGTGGTACAGCCCAGCTGTGACTGGGAGCATGTGCAGAGTGCAGACTGTAAGTTACCTGGTCTTATAGGTGCCTGACCGTGCTTCTTTTTGCTTGAATCCATATCAGTAGCAACAGATATTTTGTGGGTGTTCCCTCATCTGGTTTCCTGTTTTCTAACCTTTAAATGCAAGGATTCATTCATGTTGTAATAAGTGGTTTTCAAATAACCCACATGTTAGCTATGATTTTAGTAATTTCTGTATATTCCTCTTTACTATCTTGATAATTATGGGAAGTGGAATCTCTTTCTTCTCTTAGATGCCAGAAGGTTATTTATTGGTTGAAGGAATATGCCTTCATCTTTCCAGAAAATAAGGAAGTAGCAGGTTTTTTTTTTTTTTTTTTTTTTTTTTTTTTTTTTATTAGGCATCCTTTTCCCTAAAAGCTGATGGATGCTAGTATCTTGATACCTCATGTAGAAGCTCGGTGCACCTTCTACTTCGTGAATGTCTTATTGTATTTACTAGCTACCATACAACAAGCTGGAGAGTGAATAATCTGGTATCTGATATAGAAAAGGAAGCTCACCAAGTTAAAGAATTAGAGCTTGATTTATATATATTTCATCAAAGCCAATCAATATGATAAATGACTCATTCTTTGGTTTGGCAGTGTTTTCAAGTATCCACTGAATTTCACTTTCTAGAATAATTTTTTCCTCTGATACTTAGCTTTGATAGTATTTCTTTAACTCTGATAACAAAATTAAATACAGAATCCAAATTACCTGTTCTTTGTCTTTGATATTAATCTAGATTTAATCTTAAGTAATAATCTTCTAGTCCCCTGATGGGGTTCCTCCTCAGGGACAGACAAAAAGCCTGGACAGCCTTCCATGCATACATGGTGTTTCATATACGTATTGACAGGGAGCACAGAGGAACCTGAAGGAATTGACATATGTCTGTCAGTGTTTTTGTCTCCAGCTGCTGTTTAGAGGCCAGTGATGCCTGTTCTTCTGCCTCTTAGGCTTACTGTCCGCCTGATACTTTTGCTTGAAGAGGGGAATCACAGTCATTTCTCTGTTGGTAATCTGTTTGCAGCTATTTCCCTAAGTTTCCTTAGCTGTGTGTTCTTACATGTATCCTTTTGCTCTTAGATTACTTTTCTGATAGTGATGTGATTCATGCTAATATTTAACAGAGATGCCATGTGGCAATCCTTTGTCAGCGTTTAATCCTTAGGGTAATCTTGTTTTGTTTTGTTTCGTTTTGTTTTGTTTGCATCTGTGGACTGGAAGAATAAAAGTCATCCACTGATGCCACATACCCCATGTCGTAGTGATTAAGAGTACAGACTCTGAAGCAGACTGTCTTACCAGCTGACTTTGTGACTTGGGTCACCTAACCCTCTGTGCCTCAGATCCACCTGTGTGGAAGGTGTGAGATAATAATACTTACCACTTAGGGGTGTTATGAAGATTGAATAAATTAATAAATGAAAAAATACTTAGAACTCAACTTGACACATACTTCATTCTAGCTGCAAGTGTTATTCGTTTAAAATTACATATAGAATTAACTAGAATTGCATGTTTCCAAACACCTTAGGGAAATAGATCGTTCATTGATCTTATAACAGGATACTTCTGTTAACCTGCCCTTACTAATATTTAGGGAAGTACTATTTATTTAATATTTCTAAACTATTGCTGATGTGAGGCACTGCTTTGGTGACCACTTAACAGCTTTATGAGTTTCAGTTTTCTGAACTATCAAATGAAAGCATGCTAATTAAAGGTTTCTGGGTCTGAATAACATTTATGAAAAAATTCTGGATTAAATACAGTTAGTTTATTCAAGTTATAGAATATTAAGCATCTGCATCCTCCCATTGCCCATATAATGTCTAGTTTGGCAGTGGAATTTTAGGAGGTGCTGAGAACAGAGAAAGGATAATAGAATTCTATTTGTGCTGTGCCTGAGGAGTGTTAAATTGGTCCAGAATAGAGCATAGGAACAAAAACTCTGGGCATGTAGTAATGCCCATGTAAAGAATGCTGGGGTAGAAGAGACCATTGTGCTAAGGGCCATTCAATAAATATAAGTGGGCAGGGATTTGTGTATGTCTAGACCTAATTTAAACTATTTTTGAATTATTCATGGTTTTAAATATCCTCATTTAGTCTCTCATTTGTATTCACTTGCAAATATAATATCATTTATTTGTTACTGAAGATAACAAATAAGTCAAGGAATTTGTAATTTTGTGACATGCAAAAATTTCCAGAAAGCTGAAAATGTAATCAGACCATTAGTATTTGTTGCTTTCATTCATAATGCAGTATACCTGTTTACTAAGATTTTTTTCCCCTCACTTTTCTGCTTGTTTTAGTGACTCACTAAATACAGACTCTATTAGTGAGACATGTTTTAAAAGCTGAAATATAGTTTAAGAAGTAACTTGTTTGCCCTATATCGTGTAGTGTTACAGGGTGATTTTCGCAGAGCATAGTGTAGCTGACCTTCTAGTGATCCACACTCTGCCCTGGTTAATAAAAGCGGATAAGTGGATGGTGGTAATTGAATTGAGGGTAGGATCTCCAGTCAGCATATCGTACCTATAATCTTAAGCATCTTGTTATCAAGAGATGACCTAACAGATAATGAAATAGGGAAAAGAGTACATTTTATTCAGTGAAAAAATATTTGTGAAGAAGAGAACTGACCAGTTCTTGAAGTGTGTGTGTGTGTGTGTGTGTGTGTGTGTGTGTGTGTGTGTGTTTTAATGGAAAGCCATTAGGGAAAAAAAAATGTTCCCTGCTGGGAAACATTATTCCAAAATATAATACTGTTCATTCATCACATTTTTACATTTGTGATCTTCCATTTGACCCATTGCCAAAGCCCAGCACATCCATTCTCATCAGGATGTATTTGGAGATGTTGCATCATGAAAATTCTTGGAGCATGAATAGGTGTGACCATTGTTAGAGACAGGTGAGGGGTGCCTGAGTGGCTTAGTCAGTTAAGCGTCCAACTTCGGTTCATGTCATGATCTCACAGTTCATGGGTTCGAGCCCCGCGTCTGGCTCTGTGCTGACAGCTCAGATTCCGAAGCCTGCTTGGGATTCTGTGTCTCCCTCTATCTCTGCCCCTCCCCTGCTTGCACTCTGTGTCTCTCTTTCTCAAAAATAAACATTAAAAAAAATTTTTTTTAAAAAGAAACAGATGAATGAAAAGAAGAAAATGAATGTATACCCAGTACAAAACAAATGTTGATTCATAGGTTAGAGGAAAGAAATGGAGATAATGAAACATAAGGTTTGTTGCTCATTTCTTTGGTGTCACTGTCATTAACTTTGAAGGATTTAGGTTTATAATGTATTTAAACAAGAGAGTAGCTATAAATACTCATATCCTTATGGGTGCAGCTTGGAGACATAAAACGATTGGAAGACATTTGGAATAATTTTACTCACAAATGACTTGCAACCATTTTAGCAATTAGGCCAGCAAAACATGATCCAATGACTCTGGAAGTTTAACCAGAATGTGCATAAAAATACTGTGAAAATGTAGGAATAAAATGTTACATATCTTTATTTGGTTCTCATGAAGATCAAGTTCTCTGGATTTCATAATTATTAAGAGAAAGGAATATTATTTACGATAAAATTCAGAACTATTCCCCTTTGATGTGGTTTACTACCACAGGATAACCTTCATTATTTAGACAATAAAAGCAATGCCTTACCATTTCTAATGGACTGCTTAAAAATGGCTTCAAATGGTGATATCATGTGATACACTTAAACTGCGAAGCCTCAGAAGACTTTTCCAGATTTCATCTGTTTATTTAAATGAGGGTGAAGTGACTTATCCAAAGTCATATGAAAGAGCTGGGTCCCAAACACAAGGTCTGCCTGGTCCCTAAATTATACCTAATTGTGCCATAGTGTCTCTCATTCATTCTTCTCTCCACTTTTCCCTTAATCCATCCTTCAAATATTTATTGAACAATTACTGTGCACTAGAGGCAGTCACAGTTACTGAGAATACAAAAATAATAAGGACATAGCATGTGGCTTTGAGGGACCTAGGGTCTAGTGAGGAAAAGGCAGAATCAGACTTTAATGGAAAGGCCCATAGTTACAGATCAATGCACTAAATTCAGTGGAAGAAGAGAAGAGAAAGTGTCTTCCTATCTAGGTAATTCATGTGATGTTTAATTTTCCCTTTGAGTAAAGTCTTGACAAATGGTATGGAGCCAGATGAAGAGGTGCATAACAGCATATAGAGCCATGGAAGTGGGTTGTTCATTGATCACCTTCAGCGCACATGTATACAATATGTGTGCACATGTATACAGTGTGTGTATGTGCACACATATACAGTTTGTGTAAACACACTGAAGGGCTAGGGTGTAAGGAGAAATGAGGGCAGGGACCACTCCATGAAGGAGCTGGATGGTGATTTACAGGAGCTTGGACTTTGTTGTGAAGACAATGGAACATCATAAAAGATCTTTAAGCAAAGGAGCAAAATCATTAGATTCACATTTTCATAGTTTACCATGGAGCCAGAGAGGGACATGAGGTACATGAGGACATGAGGGCTAGCACACTAGCTAGTTGATAATTTTATATTCAGGAAATCAATGAGAAAGGATCAATTTTGTGGTGATAGTAACAGGGAAAAGCAGGTAGATATCTCAGGATTTTCGGAGGCACATGACAAGAATGTCATGACTACTGGACAAAGGGCAGGAGGATGAAAACTGAAGGGGAGGGGCAGGGAGAAGAAGGAGTTCAAAGAAGGGTTTCAA